TTTTCTCATTGTTCTGTTTTTTTTTTGGGTTTCTCAAAATAATATTTTATTACTTTAGTAATAAAAACAGCTAATTTCTACATATAAAACTTATTTTAAAATAAGTTTGGCTCAGCGGTTGGACTGTCGGTCCGCAGACCAGAGAGTCCTGGGTTCGGTTCCCGCTATGGGCATGTACCAAAAAAAAAAAAATTTTTTTTTTTAAAATTTTCAGAGAGAGAGTAAGGGAGAAGGAAATAGAAACATCGATGAGAGAAACAATTGGCTGACTCCTGCACACGCCCTACTGGGGATTGAGCCCGCAACTCAGGCATGTACCCTGACTAGGGACTGAACTAGAAACCTCTTACTGCATGGGACGATGCTCAACCAACTGAGCCATATGAGCTGGGCAAAATTGTTTTATTTCATGACTTAAGAAAGAAAACAAATTTGTTTGAGATGTTGATATGTTAGATGATAGAGATGATGTAATTATAAATGCCTACCTGGAACAATAAACTCCTTACTTGGAGTGACAGTGATAGAATAAAGCAATTGCCCAAATGCAGCAGTTTTGACAGCATGGTCTCCCGAGAGAGAAAACTCAAGGATAAAATGTGAAAGAATGCCAAGAAGAATTAGTATAAGAAGCAGCTGTCATTCCACTATGCAGAATACTCACCTGCCATCTGTGTTATAATGCAGTTCCATCACTGCTCCACTGTGTCCCTTCAACGTTGCATAGTTATCACAGTCACCATAGACATTCCACAACACTGTTAGGGAGACAGGGGTTTTGTGAGCATTGCTAGGCAAAAGCAAATTTATTACTGACCATGGAAAGGATACTTAGGAATTTACCAAGTATCATTTCAGATACTCCCTTGGAACACTATTGATTTTACCAACTAGACCAATTTTCCTGACACTGTAACAAAAATAATACAATATTTTTACATTATATAAGGTAAAAAAATTAATGGATATGACGTTTTAAACCTTAAATTTATTTTCCTTTAACATTTAAAAAGCTGACACTCACTGTTCGTCTCCTATTAATATAAGTAGACTACAAAATGGCGGCACTCATGGAAAACCTAAGAAGGTGCAAATAATTTGAAGGCCATATGGCAATGACTTGATATTACATTTACTCAATCCACATGCAGTAAGTACCTCTAACATGCTAGGTGTGAGGGTAAAACAAAGTAAATGAATAGACACAGTTGCTATCCTCAGGGAGCTTGCTCTACAAAAGAGTCAAGTTTAACGAGAATTACTAAGGAGCACCTCTCTATATAATAAGGTACATATATATAGTAGTTATGGATGTTCTGCAAAGATGCTTAATTAACCCTTCCAGATGTTTGGCCACCAGAAAATGTAATAGAACTCAACCACTGAAATCAAAACAGACAGTTATCATCCACCCTGAGGTACAGAGTTATAAGCAAAGAGCCGAAGGACTTATTTCATCTCACAATGTGACAAATGATGTCAGAAAAAATAGTCAGAGGCTTCTGTTACCTTCTTTCTTGCTTTTTCTCATGACTTCCTCAAAGTGATTTTTTTTCTACTTATTTCTCAAAAATGGGTGTTCCTGACTAGTAGCTGAGAATCTGGTAGCAGGTCCTAATGAGGTACAGGTAGATTATCCAAGTGAGTTGCCACTTTAAGATTCCCCCACTTCCTTCCCATATGCTAAGATTCTGGGAGTGAACCAAGAGGAGGGCCTCTCACCTTTGGGGAAAAGAAAAGTTATCTTTCTCATCATCACTCCCATTAACCCTTTAAGCCTAGAATTCTTACCTTGCTAAATCAGCTCAAGATTCACCTCCATGAGGAAGATATTCTCAAACTAGAGCAACTCACTTTCCAACTAATAACACAATTCTTTCTGTGTTTACCACAGGGACCCTGAGTTCTATAACCAAGATTATTCAGCATTTTCATGACCCTATTTTAACATGTTAGCCATGTAGTTTGTTATATGACCAACGCAGACTGGTATCTTCTGTGGCACCAAAGGCTTTAAAAAAGAATCACTATTTGGCAGAGAGAGATTTACTCCACATTCAAAAAGTATGCCTTACATATAAGACGGTCAAATCCTGCAGATGCTAAGGTGGATCCATTAGGGTGAAACTTGCAACAGTATACTTCCCCTTCATGTCCTGAGAGAAGCATGATTGGGGCTTGCAGGGAGGAACACCTTGGAGGCCCCTAAACAAAAAAGAGACATTCAGGATAGTTATTGTATACCAGCAAAGGAAGCTAAAAAATTGAGGAGTGGGGGGAAGGTGCAGGGAAAAGACAAGGGAAACAATGACTGGGTGGATTTCTCCTGATATAGAGAATTGCAACTCTTATCACATAACTTATGCCTCCAATTTGATCCTCTCTTGCTGAAGTTTCCAGTGTCTACCTGTTACATTAACTTTCCTCCTCTTCCTCCTCACTTTGCTCCCGTCCCATAGCCAACTTTTAATTGCTCAAACATGTTAAACTCATTTCTGCCTCAGGATCTTTATACTTGTTGTCCCTGACAGGAATCCCCTTCCCCTAGATTTTCCTGTTTGTCTCCTTTCAAATGTTTCCTGTTCAGGAAGTCTTTTCTTGATCATTCAAACTCAAGCAGCACCCAACCTCCTCTATGTATTCCACTAACCCTACTGTATCCCCTCACAGCACTTATTACCTGAAATTACCCTCCTTATGTATTTGTTTACATATTTTGTCTTTTTCCCCACTAGAAAAGAAGCTCTGTGAATGCAGGGATACTGCCTGTGTCATTTAACACTATCTTCCCAATCTCTAGCTCATTGAATGAATGAATGAATGAATGAATGAATGGAGCTTCCCAACAACCCTGCACAGTACAGATTGGGGAAAGTCCTTTTGATTATGGTCTTGGCATTAAGTCTAGGCTTGGGCAATAAGCCAGAACCTGGGCTGATATTCTTACTTGTCAGATAGATGAAAAAGTACATTATCAATAATCCCCCAATCTCTTCAGTAGTTTCCAGTTTATTCATTTATTTACAAAATACTATGTGTCAGGCACTGGGAAAATAAATGGAGTTTGCGTTCTAGTGGGAAGCAGGGAGTCAGTGAAAACAAGTAAAACATATAGATGGTGGTATGTGCTCTGAAGAAAACCAAAGCAGCAATGTAGGTTAGTGAGTATGGCATATTGCAATTTAAAGAGAGAGAGGATCAGGCCCTGGCTGGTTTGGCTCAGTGGTTAGAGCACTGGCCCTCGGACCGAAGAGTCGTGGGTTCGATTCTCAGTCAAGGGCAAGTACCTCGATGTGTCTCTATCACATAGATGTTTCTGTCTCCCTCAGCCACTCCCCCCCCGCAACTTAAAAAAGCAATCAACGGAAAAATATCCTTGGGTGAGGATTAAAAAAAATAATTAAAAAAAGAAAGGGAATCTGGAAAGTCTTCACTAAAAAGTGATATTTGAGCAAAGATTTGGAGGACCTGAGTGTGTAAACCAGATAAACATGTGGAAGAGTATTCGAGTAGAGGCAGCAGCAAATGCAAAGGTGCAGGGGCACGGAAACCAGTGTGACTGGAGCAAGCCTGAGCAATGGAAAATTGGTCGATCAGAGAGACAAAGGCAAAAAGGGCAAAAGGTTGTAAGGACTTTGATTTTACAGTGAGTGAAGTGGAAGGCCACCAAGTGCCGCAGAGTACTGACGTTTGGACGCATTCCTCTGGCTGCGGGACTGAGCACAGACTGGCCGCACAGGAGCAGACACAGGAATCCCAGTTAGGACCCGCCTTCAACAACGCCAGGTGAGACAGTAATAGCTTAGGTCAGGAGCTAGTGATGGAGGTGGTGGAAGTGGTGGCAACTGTAATACACTGAAAGCCGTGCCAGCCGGATTTGCTGACCTGCTGCTGGAGGAGTTGAGAGGACAGTATTTCTTCATCTGAGCCTAACAGAAGGAGAGGTGTGATCACCACCTCTCTCTTACAAGAAATATAGTAAAGAAACCTAGGTTCTGTGTTTAAAATCTGTTTCTATCACTACTAGATAAGAGTTCGTTCTCCCATCTACAAAATGGAATAATAGTTCCTAATTCTTAGGCTGTTACCAAAATCAATGGAGTTTTCTTTGAGTACACAGGCTCAATGAATGTTAACTATTTTTCGGTCGTTGTTCACGGTGCAGAGTAATAAAGGGAAAAGCAACTCGCCCAGAGTCCCAAGCCAGCCAGTGTCATTCATTTCCTTCCTTCCCTCATTCATTCATTCATCATCCATCCAGCCACTCTTAAAACTTTTCTGAATGTTTATTCTATGCCGAATCCCTGGAAGATTTAGGGTGCGGAAACCTGGGTCTTGATTTTGAGCTCAAGGTCCTTAACTTTTCATTCTAACGCCACATCACAGGGGGTCCAGACCCTGAAAACAGGCGTCAAACAGGGAAGCGTGTGAAGTATCCGCAGGGTGTCGGCCGCTTTTACAGTGTTTGTCTGCCTTCACCCAGGCCCAGATTCCCGTTCCGCCGCGCAGCGCGCGGAAAGGGCCTGGGCAGGATCGGCCGGTGCAGCGCTCACAGGAGAGAGGAAGACGAGGTGGAGGCCGGAGGCCGCTTGCTCCTTCACTCACCGCTTGCAGCAAAGCTCCCGGCGCCGCCTGCTGCTGTCCGGCTCCGGGGCCCGACCCCGCCGCTCCCAACAGCAACTCATGCCGCTGCCTCTTGACTGGAACCAGTGGCAACTCTGGACCCTTACGCTTCTGCTGTTCTATCATGGCGGTAGCCGCTCTCCTCAGCGCCGCCACGGCCCGCTCCGACGCCCTCGGTCACCGAACCATTGGCTCCGACTTAGTCCTTCCCCTAGAACATCCGGCTCGGAGAAACCAATCGGCTTCCAGTACTCCCCGGCGCCTCCTTGGATGCTCTCCTGTTATTGGTCACCGCTTTCTGATGGCACGAGGATAGGATTCCAGGATTGGTGGATGGCGCTGGAGTCCCGCCCGCACACGCTGTGTCTTGTGGGTGGGAGCGCGCTGACTGGGTTTTGGCGTGTCGCGCAATGCTGCGGCGCCGAGACCTAGAGCTGCTGTCGAGTAAGTACGGAGGTCGGGGGCGGGCGGCTGCGGAATGTGGAGGCGGTGCCTCGGTTGTGTGGTGTGAGCCTGGCCCTCTTGGCTGAAGTTTTGATGGCCAGGGGCAGAGGCGGGCCCAGGTTCCCAGCTCGGGTATGTGGTAGCCCGCGTACCGTTTCTGGGCTGGAGCAGAGCTTTGGGGTCTCTGCGGCTGCCTAGGGCCCTCGACCGCTGACTTCAGCGAGCGCCTACCGCGTCCAGGGTAAAAGGCCTGTCTCCCAGCCTCCACTAGGGTCCTGTCCGAGGAGGCCGACTTGTTTCTGCCAGCCTTCTACTAGGTCCTGCTCGGTGCCCCTGTGAGACCGAGGTGAAGGAGATGTCCGACTCCTGCGTTTCCAGAGCACAGGCTTGTTGAGAAATTTGGACTCGAACCTGAGAATTAGGCTTCTCCTTAATGGTCCAACTAATATTTATTGTGCAAAGCATGGAAGATACATTGTGAACCAGACATGGTCCCTGACCTCCGGGGTTTGAGTATGGTGCGGGAAACAAATGTTAAAGCATCTCCCTAAAAAAATGTGAAATAAGGACGACCTGGGAGAGGCACCTGATGTTATGAGTGCCTGAAATAAGCCGGAAGGCTTCTCGGAGGAGTAGATGCCTGCAGGAAGGGTTCTAACTAGGCGACTGAGGAGAGGAAGGCGGACTATTCCTGTAGAACAACGTGTGCAGAGGCCCTGTGACAACGGGAGGAAAATGACCGAAGAGCGGAGGCCAGTGTGAGCAGTACGAGGGGAATGAGGGGAGATGGGGGGGGGGGGGAGTGGGGTACAAGATGAAGCTGGAGGCGGGTAGAAGTCAGACCTTGCAGGACGTTGTAGCTTTTACTGGAAGATTGATGCGGTTTTGTTGTTGGTTTATTTTTGTGGGTAGTGAGTGGTGTGGTGAGGAGAGGGCTTGATCACTCCGAGGCTCAGTAGTGTGAGTAGAAGGAGGAGAGACCGATGCACTTAGGCCAGAGCTGTTGACAGTGAGGACTGAGGTACTGGCGAAACTGCAGAGAGTTGGACAGATTCTGGAGAGAGAGAGATTGGAGGTAAAATCAGTAGGACTTGGAGATGGATTGGATTCAGGTAGTGACAAGAGAGGACTTCAGTAGCTCCTAGGTTTCGGGCTTATGGCAAATGGATAGTTCTCTTTTGGGCAGGGGAAGGAAGAGGTCACTCTTGACATCCAGGAGGCAGTTGGAACTATGGCTTTGGAACGCAGAAAAGAGATTTTTGTTGGAAATATAAATCTGAGAGTAATTTGTGTTTGGTGGTAATTGAGCCATAGGTGTGAATAAGATCACCTTAGTCAGAACCTTGATAGTTCCAGCGTTTAATGGCCAAGAACAGGAGCATGATCCTAAAGGAGAGAGAAGAAAGAGCTAGAGAACAGGATCAGAGGAATGCTGTCTCAGAAGCCAGGAAGCGGACTGTGTCAGAAACTCCTGGCATTTAAATAACATGCGTGTTGAAAAAATGTTTTGACTTTATCATCATGGAGCTCATGGTATCCTTAGCAAGAATTATTTTGTTGGTGCGATGGGGCCAGAAGCCAGAAATAAGGCAAAGGTTTAGGCAAGGAAATGGAGGCAGTGAATCTAGAGAGTATTTTCCATACATATGATTGTAAAGGAGAGGAGAGGATGTGGAAGCTAATGGAGATGGGGGGGTCACCAGGATCCAGTTGAGAAGGTGATGAAGAAATTGAATACACAAGAGAGAAATTGGGTCATTGGTAGCGTTCTGAGAACATGGGAATGGATGGGATCCAAAGTCTGGTTAGAAGGAGAAACCTTAGGAAAATGGACAGTTTCTCTGTTAACAGAAAGGAAGGAGGAAATGAAGGCAATACATATAGGTTGTTTGTATGTTTGATATTGGTAAAATGAGTTCTTTTCTCATGGCTTTTATTTTCTCTGTAAACTAGGAGATGGAATCATATATACTTAGAGTGATAGGAGGTCAGAGATTGGAGAAGATTGCAGAAGATTTGGATATCATTGTAGAATATGCAAGAATGAGTTCACCAGAGAAATGTAGACATTGCCGAATTAAGTTGGAGATCATAATTTTTTCCTAGCAATATCAGGCTATTATGTGCAGTCATGAAGAACATACCCATGTATGGCAAGGACTGAATTTGGTTTGCTTAACACAATTCCCATCTCTAATGTACCTTCTCTTACTGACAATTCTAGGACACTGAAAACGATCTCTGGGACTCCTTTGCACCTAAAATGGGAATTGAATGTGGAACTGAGTTAAGTGTGGGGAGGAGGGTGAGAGGCATCCAGTTTTGATGGCAGATATCATAGCAGAGGCAGTGAGTTTTCTTCAGTCAGCAGCTTTCTGGTTTAGTGACTTTCTGCAATGATAGCCATGACTTTTTTGATTGTGAAAGACTCATTTTGTGGATTAGGAGTTGTTCCTAGAAATTCTACCAGAGCCTGCTTTTATAGCCCTTTCAGTGATTTTGTAAGCCACGTAATACCTAACAATAAGTCCCTTTCTGCTTTACCTAGCTAGAATGGGTTCTGATGTCTGCACCTGTACTCCACCAGCTTAAGTATTTTGCCATATAGGCGAACTATAGAGACAGAATTAAAGGGAGGTCACAGTGTTTGATGGACTGTGGAATCCAAGCTGGATAGGGAGGAAAGTGAAGAAAAAGGAGAGGGCTGATAGACTGGAAGAAAAGAGACAATAGATCAGTGTTCTAATGAGGTCAAAGAACAGTATTCTCTGCTAGAGGATAACATCCATTTATTCTTAATAAAAAGTTGTCACCTTTTAAACTTCCCTGCTTCCCCCTGGCCCTTCTCTTTTTTTGTTTTCCTAGTATTTTGAACCTAGTCACTCTTTTAGCTCTGATCATACTGTGTTGTAATTGGTCACCGTTATCCCTACCAGACTAGGAAGTCTTTGAGGATAGGGACTGTGATAAAAAGGATGGTTTAGTGGTGAGTGTATATGGCTCTTGGAATGGCCTAACGTTTGTCTCTTTCTAGCTATGAGTTTTGGACAAGTAACTTCTTTCCTGTAATGCCAGGGATACCTACTTTGTAGACTTGTTTTAAGGGTTGAAAGGAGGTTTATGAAGTGCTAGCACAGGGCCTGACATAGAAACAAACAGTAAAATGTGTTAAATGGATTAATTAATTAATTAAATTTTTTGTCCTCACCCGAGGACATTTTTTCATTTTTTGTTCCGATACAGTGGGAGGGAGAGAGAGAGAGAAACATCGATGTGAAAGGGACACATTGAGTGCTTGCCACCTGCAGGACCCAACCAGGGCTGGGGACAAACCGCAACCGAGGTACATGCCCTTAGCGGGAACTGAACCCAGGCCTCTCTGGACCTCAGGCCAATGCTCTAACCACTGAGCAAAACAGCCAGGGCTGAATTGATTAATTTAAACTAACAATTTAAAATGGGGCCCTGGCTAGGTAGCTTGGTTGGTTGGAGTAATGTCCCGAGGTGCCTGGGTTGTGGATTTGATCCTCTGTCAGGGCACATGCAAGAATCAACCAATGAATGCGTGAATGAATGGAACAACAAATCAGTGTTTCTCTCTCTGTCTCACTCTCTCTTCCTCTCTCTAAAATCAATTAAAAAATTGCTCGGCTGTTGTGGCTCAGCGGATTGAGCATCACTCCCATGGAGTGAGAGGTCCTGGTTCGATTCCCCATCAGGGCACATGCCCAGGTTGAGGGCTCCATCCCCAGTGGTGGGTGTGTAGGAAGCAGCCGATTGATACTTCTCTCTCACATCGATGTTTCTATTTCTCTCTCTCTCTAAAAAATCAATAAAAACATATTAATAAATAAAAAAAATTTTAAAAATAGGGTAAAATTCAATACTTCCATATTTGAGTAGATATAAATTTATATGTGCTTAACACTGCTAGGCACTGGAAATTTAAAGAATATGCTGATGTACAAGATAGAGCATGCTCAGAAGAATTTCATAATCTGAAGAGGGAAGAAAAAAATGTTTGTAAATAGAATTTGAATCTCATCTGCATCATTCATAGTTTTGTGATTTTGAGCAAGTTACTTAGCCTTTCTGTATCTTAGTTTCTTCATCTGTAAAATGGTAATGAAAATTGCCTATCTCATTGGGTGGTCAAAAAGGGAATTAAATTAGTTAAAACAAGTAAGGCTTTTAGGTTAATTAATACATGGCAAAGAGGAAGTACTCAAATATTAGCAGTTATTATTAGAGGACTTGGAAGGGACCTTCAGGATTATTGACTGAAAGAACGGTGTGGGGTAGTAGAGAAGGTACTGGTCTTGGGGTCTGATACCAGCATGGCTAATTATGAGCAGCCTTTATCAAGTCACTTGATCTATGTTAGTTTGTTTTCAGTTAAATACGAGTAACAGAGTGAATGATACCCACAATTTCTTTCAACTTTCATATTTTATGAGTCCACTTTTTGTGTTTTGCTTTGTTTTTTACTGTTTTTATTTCTTTCCTGCTTTTTACAATTTTCTTAACAGATCCATGACTAGAATTCAAAAAGAACATCCCTCTAAGATAGCCTAGAAATTGGGTGGGAAGGAGGAAGGTTGGACCACTAGTTTGGCATTTGAAAGTTTCCCATCTGATCTGTCCAGCATATTCTTCTGCATATTTTAAACCAGAATGCTTTCTTTCTTCTTTCTCCACCTTGGTTTGGCACATAGTAAGGCTCTGTTCACTCATTAAACAAAACTTTGGGTACCTACTGTATACCAGGCACTGGGAACGCAAAACCAAATAAGAAATGGTCCTTGGGTACATGTTTGAATGAATGAATCCAGACCTGGCTCATTGTAACTTCCTCCATGAATGATGCCTTTTTGATTGAACCTACCTAGTTAGTGTTATAGCTGTACTCTACAAAGTTTACATGTGGGCTGTGAATTCTTTCTCTCTCTTTTTTTAAAATTTATTTTTAGAGAGAGAGGTAGGGTGTGGGGGAAAAGAGA